TTTCTGTCTCCATGTCCTCAGTGATCTCTTCGTCTACTATAGCAGCAAAGCGGCTCCCATTGGGTGCAGGCAGCGGCAGCAGCGGCCTCGCATACAGCTGCCTGTCCCCTGCTGCAGCTGCCTCTTCTGCTGCTGCTGCTGCTGCTCCTGCTCCTGCTGCTGCTGCTCCTGCTCCTGCTCCTGCTCCTGCTGCAGCAGTTGCTGCGGGGTTGGGGGCGACGAGGAGAGGCCGCCTCCAGGCTTCTAGTATTTTGTGCGGCAGGTCAGCGAGGTGCAGCACAGCAACACAGTGGTGGCCCCTGGCTAGCTGTACAGCTAGCTGCAGCTGGTGGTTGTTATAGAGATCAGGGTTTACGCATGCAACGACCCGGCGCGAAGCCCGCAGAGACTCTATCAGAGTTCCAGCCCCACAGTGAGAAATAATTAAATCAAAGTGCTGCAGCAGCTGAGACAAAGAAGGAATATAACGAACCACACGTACACGCGACAGCCCCGCAACCTGTACATACACCCCAGATGCATGCAGCGATAGAGAAGCCCCAGATACACCAAAAGGAATATTCTTTCCCCGACCCACTTGCACTGTCAGCGATACCCTGCCTATACACCGCAGAGCCTCTAAGAAGGGTTCAGACCCCGCAGCCGCCACCAAACCCTCAAAGGCTGTGCTGCCGACTGTCACGAGCACACGGGGCCCTTCTTCAGGCGGTAGAGTGAAGTTGTTTTCTGTTTTATTTTTTTTGTTTTCTTCTTTTTCTGCTGCTGATATCTCCTGGCTCGTGCAGCCCCGTGAGAAACACAGAACACCCCGGCGAAGCAAAGAAGCTGCGGCTGCTGCTGACCCCCCCGATCCAGACACTTCCTTTGAGTCGCCCATGCGGCGCTTCAAAGAAAAAAAAAAAGAAAACTCAGAGGCAATGCTGCTGCAGCTGCTGCTGCTGCTGCTGCTGCTGCTGCAGCTGCTGCTGCAGCAGAGGCGGCGGCGGCAAGGACCCGGGCCCCGAGCAGCAGAAGGTCGCTTATTGCAGGATATCTGGAGGCCGCAGGCTGTATATAAAAAGCTAAAAGTAGAAGATTTTGTTAAAGAAAACAAATCAGTATAATGTAAACACCACAGNACTCCAAAAAATAAATTCAAATCACTACCAACTGCATATATATATATTTACTGTTGTACATGCATCGACTGACCGCAGGATAACGGGGCTGGGCTGCGGGTGCAGCGACAGAGCGGCTCAGCGGTGTGCTTAAATAAGTTCAATAAAAGGGAGAAATAAGTGAAATAAAAGAAATAAAAACTTATTTTCTGTTGATACATAGAAGATTTTGCCTGAGACGACTGCTGCTCCCCTGCGAAGAGCCAGGTTTGCATACACCCGAAGCCATAATGTTGCTGCTGCTGTGTGGAGTGACCCTGCTGGTCTACATTTAGCTTGAGGCATCCAGAGCAGCAGAGCCAGCCCTACAATGGCTGCTCGAGCAAACCTGGTAGGGCTTCACAGCTAGCCGTGTGCATGCGCATGCATCCGCTTACACGGGGGCCGAGCTTCTGCCTCGCGTTCCTTGGATAACCACTAGTCAAGCATTCAGTACACCCTCCTCAGCCCCAACATATGCATTTGTAGTCCCTGTAGCGAGCCAGAGATAGAGAGAAGAAAGCGAGAACACACCTGCGTCTGCACAGGCCGCAGCTCACCTCCCTCCACAGAGCTGAGAAGCTGCAGCGTTGCTGCCTTTTGTTTGACACAATAAAATACAGACCCAGCTGCAGCATTAGAGCTCACGGATGCGTTGAGATAAAGAGGCGGAGCGGCAGTGGTCCTCGAACGCGGGAGAGAGACCTTCATTGCATTGTGCATGGGGTCACCTTGATCTGTGCAGATGGCAACACGCTCCTCGCCGGGGTCTGTAGACCCTCGTTACGTGGCGGCCCCAGCGGGCTCAATTCCTGGGGTTGCTGGTAGGGCCTCTGTCTCGTGTAAAGACTTGTACTCGCGCACAAGATCTCGCAGCTTGAGGAGGCCACCACCAGCTGGTGGCTGTGGGTGGTATGAATACGGGCTGTATGACGTTGCACTGGAGCTGACAGAAGTTCCTTTGCGGCCGTTTGAGTTGGAGTATAGAGAACGCACTATCTTGACGCCTGAGGAGCCACAGCCTATAGAACTTCCCAGCACCAGACAGCCCCCTGTGCTGGTTAAACTTAAACATAAACCTCGCGCTTGTGCTCCGCCTCACCCCTCTACTGTACGCCTCCGTTATGAGCCTGAGGCCGCTCCTGTAGTGTTTCCTACAGAAGGGCACAAGAAACAGCAGAAAACAGACAAAATAGAAAAACAACCGTCAACACAAATACACAAAGAAGCAGAATCCAGCGCTGCAAAGGAACGCCATAAAACAGAAAAAGGAGAAAAGCATGAGAAAGCTGATAAGGGGGATAAGGGCGATAAGCAAGAAAAAGGAGAAAAGCAAAATAAAGAAAAATCTGAAAAAAAGGAAAAAGAGAAGAAAAAGAACAAAGATCAACCTCAGGAACAACCTCAAAAGGAAGATTCCTAAGAAATATTCAACAATACCCCAGCTGCTACTGTTTCTCCCTCGTACCATCCACCTGTTCACCTGAAACATAGAACAGGTAGACGTGTATGAGCCCCCTGCATCACTCTCTTGAGGGCCCCAGGCCCTTGCTGCATCTTTTTTCTTAATGTGCCTTTCAACTGGCACGCAGTTGTTTCTCTATACACTGCAGCGGTTATCGCTTTCTCCCGTTCGGCAAACACCAACAACATTTCGCCTTTCCTTTTGAGCCTTGAATCAAACCCTTCTGCATCGGTGTATAATATATAAGCCTCCATTCAACATCTCGTTNCCTTTTGAGCCTTGAATCAAACCCTTCTGCATCGGTGTATAATATATAAGCCTCCATTCAACATCTCGTTTTGGATTTACTCTTACTCTCGTGCAGCTTTTTAGTTTTTGCATATTGAGACCCGATTGACACTATAGCGATTTCTGTTCTCATCTCACACACTAACAAACTGTACTAAGCTTTTTCCGTTCATGTATGTTTGTATATACTGCATATTATATATTCCGGTACATATCTATATATATAGAGGAGATATATAGATATAGATATAAATACAACAAAAATAGGAAGCACTGAGCAGGATATGTAGACCTTCGGCACCTGCAATGAGAGCTACTGCGGGTTTCCCTTCGGCGGTATTTCCCTCTTCTATCCCCAATATTTTTTATTGAGGGAGCGTATATCGTGGTGTATTATATTTATCTCTTTTCAAAGTAGCATAGCATTCTCCTCAAAAGGATGATCGTGGAACTCAGGAAGTTTTGCATTCGCGTGCATCAGTTGCCCCCTTGAGGGCTGGCGTAGCTGGTATCAGAAAAGAAAGCTTAAGTATAAATACGTATGAGCTCTGGAGTGAAAATTAGGGTTAATTATGCATAGGCAGAATAACTTATGAGTAAACGTCAGCCGCCAACAGTAGATGTGTCGAACCCAACAAGCTTCTGAAAGCACTTCAGCGTTTGTGTCTATGAGGCAGTTGAAAAAGACTTTATATTTTAATAGGAGCCGTCTTGTTCGGTGGCTTTGATAGCTCAAGTATAGCAAGGTATCCCGCTCGTCTGGGTTGCCAAAATATCCTGGCGCCCTAGCGGTCAGTCACTGCATTCTGCAGCGTTTGCTTTTCTATATCCAACAAAATAATTCCTCAAAGCGGTATCTTTGCGCGTCTCCACAGCTCACGCCTCTTCACCATGTTCCCCTTTTAGCCGGGTTTCCACCGAAATGTCGTTGAATGACTGGAAATTGAACATCGCTGCTCGCAGCGATACCCGTACTCTGCCAGCGACAGGCATTGCAACACAGCCTACAGCAGGCCGAGAAAACGCAGGAGAGCACCGGAGCATCAGGCCATACAGTACAATGAACAGTAGAAAAAGCTCCTTTGTGATCCTATATGGTTCTCATCCTTGGCGATGCCATCAGGAGGGCGAATGGAAAAAGAAGTTTTCCCTTTGGTGTACAGGTATATACTGGTTATACTTGCTTATACTGGTATCGGCGTGTTAACTGCATTATAGATGCACCCCGAACGTGGAGATGCCGCCACACCCTTGGTACCGTTTTTCCGAAACTGTTTAGGGTTCTCCCCACAGAACCGCAGCAACGCTATTGCTTTAAGGACCAAATGGAAGAGAGTGAGCTTCTGGGGGCACGGTTAAAGAACACGCAGCAGCCATAGAAGGCGGTAATATTACCGCAGGGGCTCTACAACATGACGACGGCTGATGGGGATCGCTAGAAGGTAGAAACTCCTCATCTTCATACAACAGCTGTAGCCGCAAGCATGCGAGTGAATAGCACGGCATAATACTAGGGTGCCCACAATCTGTGCAAAGAGCTTCTTTGTCTTGAGCTACAAGGGGTTCATACCCCTACACCAACTGGTTCTTTCTCGTAATTCATTTGATAACCGTGACCTGAGTTCACTCTTCTAAATTTGCCTATTTTGACGCCGGAACAGCCAGCATACGGCTTGCCTGTCTCGTAGATTCAGGTAGACTTCGGTGCTATGGATTGGTGCTTGCTCGCCTGGTAGGTTCTGTAGTGGTTCTAGCACTACTACGCTGCTGCTACTACGCGGCTGCTGACCCACGCAAGCTGCAGAGNTGCTGCAGCAGTAACACTCAATTCTTATATTCCTTGCTTCTTGCAGTATTATGGTGACCAGCACATGTCAGACAGTCTCTCCATATCTTCATATGGGGCTTTTTGTTGTGTGTAAGACTATATAGAGTGCCAACGACATTTGTGCGCCGCAATAGAGTCAAACTTTTTTACATTAGAGTTCCCCAAGGAGCAAATTAATTTCATTCCGGTCGCCAGGCATCCTGCTCGCAGCGGTACGCAGCGGAGCTGATGCAGAGAAGAGGTGACCCGCCATCAGTTGCAACACACCGTGCTGCAACTCGTGGTGCAAGGCAGCTCTATGAGGAGGCATACGGAAGACCCTTTTCAACGCATGTACTAACTTCGTAAAGAAATGATAAATACTATAGTGAACGCCAGTAGCCGTCGTGGACTCTGAAGGAGAAATACATGTACCAACGCCAGCCATGGGTGTTGCATGGGTCGGCATAAGTGTTTGCATACAAAGGGGCAACAGACGGGGAAACGAGACGTATACATACGTATGTAGATACATACATTCAAACAAATATCGTTCTAAATGAATCACTGTAACTATTTGCATATAAGCTCAGAAATATTTGTATGAAGAGAACGAGTTCAATGCTTGCCAACGCGCAGAGAGAGACAACGAGATACAGAGGATAAGCCTTTTGCTCTTTGCCTCTTTCAGTGCAAGGCCGAAAACACACAAAAAAGCAGTTAGCTGCTGCGTTCCCGGTGTTGGCCCCCACAACACAGCACCATATATATCTGGTGGAAACGCGTAACTGTATGTATGGTAAGCTCAGAGGTACTGGCAGGAAGAGATGCAGCTGCATGTATGCCAATGTGCACACAGACAAGGCTGAGTGAGATCCTGTAGCTTCCTTGTGGCTTACTGCCACCGTCTGCACCTCTCTATCTTCATCCCTTTCTAGATATGTCTTCTTCTACCTTCTTTTTCTGCGCTTATATCTATATCCTCTAAGTAAACGTAACATTCACAACCACCGTCATGCCGCCACACCAAATTCCTGCGCAGGGTCACTCAAAATGCTGATGCAAGATGAATTCATCCCGAAATTGTTCTTGCATTGGACTCACACTGAACACAACAACAAATGATGCAATGAATTTACAAATAAAATACTATCTTCTACACAGACAAGGGGGAAATCGCGACGTTATCAATCGGAGGCAATCTTGCAAACGCAGATAGCGCTACCTACCAGTGTCTTCCCCTAATTCACGTCAGCCATTACGAACAAACAAGGTGTTTTTCGGCATTCGAGCTACAAAAAATTATTTTCTTTTGCACAAATGGCATATGAACTGTGGGGCCCCATGGTCTACCCGGCTCCTCGTGCCGGATCTGCGGCGGACCACCGCCTNTGGCATATGAACTGTGGGGCCCCATGGTCTACCCGGCTCCTCGTGCCGGATCTGCGGCGGACCACCGCCTCTCATCGGCACAACGAACATTCTCAAGTGCAAAATTATAAATTACTGAGTCTTTAGAAGGTAATTCCAAAGAAATACCAATGAATGAGGATTGAAGGCAAATGGCCGTTTCGGCTTTCTTCTGGCGTTCAGCGCTGCACTGCTCGTTGGCATTCTGGGTGTGTGTACGGCCTCACCCCCTTTGCCCCTCTTTCTCAAGGAAATTAGCCACGATGCAATGATACTTTATTATACACCGCCTTATATTGGTGTGCCACTCACACATGAACGTCAACGCCAAGCCACATGAACCCGCCAGCAACCCCGAATAGCACGCAGATGCAGGCGAACCCGCATCCGGTGTTGCGCTGCCTCAGGGGCCGCCCAGGAGGTCGCCGGGATGGGTGGAGCTACCTATGGGGATTTGTAGAGAGCTGCCTTGCGCACTAGGGTTGCTTGAGAAGCTGCACTGGCACTAGCTGCATAGATATCCCCTCAGCTGCCATTATGCTGCCTCACACTTCTAGGCAGGTACAGGACCCCTCCTCTGCTGCAAATGCAGCAGTTGCTGCTACTGTTGCTGCCCAGAGCCGGCAGCAGCAGCACCAGCAGCATCAGGAGCAGCAACACGTGCGGCCTGGGCATTCGGAACCGCAGCAGTCCGACGGGCAGCTCAAGTCGCAACAGCAGCAGCAGCATCATGAGGGGGCGCACTGCAGATCAGGCGTAGCTGCCGACAGTCTGTTGAGTTCATTTGACATGTTTGCCTTCAACGCTCCGAAGACACCCCAAAGAACGACCCCAAAAAAACCAGCACCTAGAGCAAAAGGAGGCAGTGGGCCCCACCGAGGCAGCACACCCGTGGCCAGCGGCAGTCGTTCCAGCAGCAGCAGCAGCAGCCGAATGGCTGGCGGCAGCTGTGCAAGCAGGAGCAGTGGCCTGGGGAGCAGCAACGTTGACAACGCCGCAACTGGCGGCAGCTGCAGCAGCAACAACAACAGCAGCAGCAACAGCAGGACCAGTGCGATTGAATTGCAGAGGGAATCAGAGCTAAGCCCTGGAGTACGTCTGTCTCTAGAGTGGCTGGAGGAAGCGGAAAGAAGACGGGGGCTGAGCAGCACAGAAGTTGCTGCTGCCTTCAGGTGTCCTCAATGCCACCAGTTCACCATGACCTTTCGCTCCGGCCGCTACGGTATGCAGCAA